CATCAAGTTCTGTTGCACTGAGTTCTGTTACATTGAGTTCTGTTGCATTGAGTTCTGTTACATTAAGTTCTGTTGCATTAAGTTCTGTTACATTAAGTTCTGTTACATTAAGTTCTGTTACATAAAGTTCTGTTACATTAAGTTCTGTTACATTGACTTCTGTTACATTAAGTTCTGTTACATTAAGTTCTGTTACATTGAGTTCTGTTGCATCAAGTTCTGTTGCACTGAGTTCTGTTACATTGAGTTCTGTTGCATTAAGTTCTGTTACATTAAGTTCTGTTACATAAAGTTCTGTTACATTGACTTCTGTTACATAAAGTTCTGTTACATTAAGTTCTGTTACATTAAGTTCTGTTACATTAAGTTCTGTTACATTGAGTTCTGTTACATTAAGTTCTGTTACATTAAGTTCTGTTACAATAAGTTCTGTTAAATTCTGTCACATGGTGTCATTTGATGTGATGGTGCTCAGACTGCTTCCTCTCCTGCTCTGCAGCCATCAGTCAGGTGAGGTTGGCATGGCGTCTTTCTGCAGGGTGGACAGTCTCGCCGGTCGCCTTCCCAGCATGCTCAGCGCTTTGGAGGAACACGACTTCCTGTTCCAGCTGCACCTCAACGACATGCCGCAAGATGATTCCAACGAGGTTCGTTTGTGTAATTGTTTTTCGGATTTTACTGTTGCATTTTCTTTCATTCTGATATTGCCACAGAGTTTTCTGTTGCCTTTATTGGTCAGGACACTTATTCTCAGTCAGACTTTCGTGGTTAAATAAAAGTTAAACAAGTACAAAATCTATAAATACAAACTGAAAGGAAGAGTTGTAACATCATCATCTGGATTGCTTTCCTAAATAACCTGATTTATTTCAAGAACTCAAAATATTATATTGTATTTTGCAGAAACTGGAAATTATGTTGTGTCTCTTGTGGTCCTAATATTTCATATATGTATGGTATGTATTTATTTTCAGGGGTTGGAGGTTCCCCTGGTCGCTGTGTTGCAGTGGTCAACTCCCAAGATGCCTTTCACCAACTGTATCTACACACACTACAGGTAAGGACCAAGCCTTCCTGTTTGAAATGAAACGCTCCAACCTGCCGACCTGCCCCAAGCTGACAGCGGAAACCACCTGTTTGTTAAAAATATGAGGAGGGACAATTCACTGTTCCTTCATACTCACAGGGACACGTCCTGACTGTCCATTTATAAATCTACTCTCTGTCCTCTCAGGTTGCCCAGCATCCGTCTGGACCGACCGCGGTTTGTCATGACAGCGAGCTGTCCGAGCACTGTCAGGGTGAAAGAACACTTCAAGGTCAAATACGTTCTGCTCAACAACCTGCAGGACTTCCTGGCAGTTCGGCTCGTCTGGACTCCAGACGGTTAGTGTGGGTGCGCTGTTGTACGGTTCATGAGGACCAGCCTTAGACCAGCTCTAAACCTTGGGCAGTGCCTAAAATGGGCCAGTACTCACTGGTACTGCATGCCGCGACCTCCCAGTGAGTCTAGGTATGCACTCTATTTCCCCACCAGGCTAGTGTCCGTTACCTTTGTCGGTTTGGTTTAGGCATGATGGATGAGATGTCTAGGCAGTCCCTCCAGGAAGTTGCTATGATGATCAAATCCCTGTAAATTCTGTCCCATCGCAAACCTTTCTGCAAATTTGACCAATCGGTGTATTACAAAACGTTGAGCCAAACTCACTTCTTCATTTCTAGTTGTGAAGATGCAGACATGTCCAACACAAACGTCTCACATTAACCTTCCAAACAGTGCAATATTATTCTCACTAGCCCACATAACTGCGGCTTAACACAGAGAAAACAGCTAAAAATGGATAAAACATGGCTGTAGGAAGTCTCTCTACCACCGTGGGTTCCCTCGGCACACAATCCAGCATTACAGGTCCATTTGTCAAAACAACTCTTATTCACTCTCAGCTGCAACCCATCAACACAAAACAACTCTGGACATCCGCTCTCATTTGTCTGTGCAGTCAACCCAGGTCCAGCACACTACTGCAATATAAGAGAGAGCGATTACTCAATGGCACAGCTGAGATCATCAACTCACCTGGCGCTGCTCTCACAAGCCTTCCTCCCACCTCTCTCTCCTGCAGCTGATTATAAACCACACCCACCTCCACAATGGCTAAATAATTCATTATTTTGTGGTTAGGGTTTTGGTGAATTAGGGTACTGGCACCTTTTATGGTCCAATTCAGGTGCTGAAAGTTTTTCAAATGGCTGTTGGAGGGTCAAAGGTCCAGTGTGTAACACTGAGGAGGATCTATTGTCAGAATATAATATCCATAGGTATGTTGTCATTAGTCTATAATCACCTGAAATTAAGATTTGTTGTGTTACCTTACATTTTTATCTACTTCTACAGAGTTCGCCATTTCGAACTGCCATGTTTCTACAGTAGCCCAGAACAGACAAACTAAACACTGACTGTAGATTGGGACATTTGCATTTTTAATGAGTTTCGCGGCAGCCAAGTCAGAAAGCAGATGCTGAAGTTGGTTGATTTAAAACAGAAGGTTTGATTAAACTCAAACTAAAGGCAAAACTTATTTCACTGGTTTCTGAAAGAATTGTTTGACCCTGTATATATGGTTGTTTGTGTGTTCAGGGCGTGGTCAGAGCGAAGATGCAACGCTGGCTGCTGTGGTCTGTCACACTCCTCTCAGTAACCTTGGTCACTGTCGGAAAGGAAGCACTCTGTCCTTCAGTGTGGCCTTCCAGATCCTCAAACCGGGACTGTACGAGGTACCTGAGGCACAGAGCGCTTAAATACATTTATTCTATATATCAAATAAAAAACATTTAACGTTGGGATAAAGTGTCATTACATTACCCTCTCTCTCTCTCTCTCTCTCTCTCTCTGCAGCTGAGTCAGCACATGAAGTTGAAGCTCCAGTTCACGGCGTCTGTGTCCAACCCTCCGCCGGACGCACGGCCGCTGTCACGTAATGAAAACATCACTTTGCTTTTTTTTATATACAGACATAAAAGATCTCCACTTCCTCCCACTGTATAAAAAATAAGGCGGACTATCCGGATACGGCCACTGCCATCTTTCTCTGTGCAGAAAGAGTCTGTGCAGTAGTGATGAGGACACCACGGTATCAAGGCCCCCCTCATATACCCGTTCGACCTAATGGCTCAGCTGTCAATCAAATAAATAACTCATTATGTTAGGAGAGGTTTACTGATGATAAAAATGAACAGTTGTACAAACATCACCGCGATAAGAACAAAACATTTATTAGACTTTTTAGTTTGTCCCTTCTGCTAACATGGAGGCTACACTGCATTCAGCCACCAGGGGGCGATATAGAGGATGTGGATGGTATAAATGCAGCCTAACCTTACCACTACTAATACTGATGGTGACAGGGACACCTTCATCTCTGTAACATAACTGTCATCATATATTGTGAACACAGGTGTGATAGTTTGGTTGAATGTGTTCTCTCGTCACCACACAGGGAAAAACAGCCCATCCAGCCCAGCGGTTCGAGACCTGCTGGACCGACACCAGGCCAGTCTGGGTCGGTCTCAGTCCTTCTCCCACCAGCAGCCGTCTCGATCCCACATCATGAGGTACCACACAGACCCTCACTGACTGGAGTCAACATAGTTTAATTACTCTTCAATTGTAGGAGATTTATTATATTTCAAATGATGTTAATGACATTAGTTTTTGTTTGTTTGTTTCTGGAACATTTGGGGTTTTTTATATTATAGAAATGTTATACTTTGAAGAGTTTTAGGTTATTTTTGGAAGATCAAGGGTGGAAGTTTGGTTTCAGAAATTAACTATGATAAAACTGGTTATTGTGCGTTCAGTAATAACGGAAGTACAACTAGCTATGAGCTTGTTATTGTTATATGTACATTTTTTGTTCTTAACTGACCACATTTATATCTTTACTACCGATAAATCTGCTTTACTGTCTGACCTGAAATAACTTTGTACTGTACTTTAGTACAAATGTGAGGTTCTTGTACTTTGTACTCCACATCTACATTTCAGAGGGAAACATGCGTTTTACTCCTCTGCATTTATCTGACAGCTTTTTACACACAAACATATTAAGAGTTTATGAAATATGATTTCTTATAAATTAAACTACTAGGGGTGTAAAGAAAATATCCAGATACAGCTGCTGCCATCTTTCTCCATTTGGAGCTAGAGTCTGTGCTGGGTTGGCACCACGGTATCAAGGCCCCCCTCATACACCCGGCCTACTTAATGGGGAGCAGGACTCAGCTGTCAGTCATGACGTGAAACCCCCTTTTTATTTTAAAATGACTAATTATGTTGTAAAGATTTACTGATATGAGTCAGAAACCGGTTTTAATGTTATAGATGCGACTGACATATCGCCCAACTCTACTGTATAAAATCCTGTATTACTGACATTGTGGGGACATCGATGTGTTTACACATTCATGTTGTGGGGACTTACCTTGCTTTTGGGGACTTAATGTAAATCATTGTCTATATATACAAACAAAGTAAAGATAATGATATAACATTATTTTCAGCAATATATTGACTTATTGAACAACCTAGGTAAAACTCTGTTAAAGGTTAGTTTAAGATGAAGAATCTAAGTTAATGTAATGTCCTCTGAAGTGATGGAAACATGACTCTGTGTGTGTTTGTGTGTGTGTCAGGACGGGCAGCGCCATGGAGCGGCGGGCCATCACTCCTCCCGTTGGCTCTCCAGTCGGCCGGCCGCTGTACCTGCCGCCACAGGACAAAACGCTGCTGTCGCTGGACAAGATCGCCAAGAGGGAGTGTAAAGTCCTAGTGGTGGATCCTGTCAGCTAGGGAGCAAGGATGGAAGGAAGCAAGGAGGGCAGAGGACGCAGTGAGGAGAGGCCTTATCTTAAACTGCAAGCTGCTGCCTCGTGTTACTGTAGGAACATTTGAATGGAAACAGAAGTGCCATCTGTTAAAGAGACTGAAATGAACACACACATTGTACAGAGTGAAATATTTAATGTGACGTATTATTATATTTCTGTATTATTTAAAGGGACAGTCGAGGTGAAAGATGTTTATCACACAGGAGGAAGAAGTTGCCGAATTCACCTTTTATTTCAGTGTTATTATCAATCTCTTCACAATCAGTATCAATAGCTTTCAACACTTTAACATCGACATGTTTAATGTAATAATTCAATGTCTTAATATAATGTCAAATAACAAAACCACAACGTTCTGTTTCCTTTATTTCAGGAGATTGACAACACTATCAGAATGTTTATTTATTTATGAATATCACTTCTACAAAAATATATCCGTTACCAATCATTCATTTGATCGAGAGAGAGCCACGTATCAAAAATACCAGCAGCTTAATTAGATGTTGTAGCCACAAGGTAATAAACACACGTACCAAACAACAGCAGGAAGAAGAGAGAGTTAGCAGAGCAGCAGGCTTCACATCCCAATATTTACAACTTGGACATTTTACAAATCACCATCATGATGTTGTGATTTCAGCCTTTTATTGATATTAAATCACAGCAACATCTGATTATTTTGGGCTCATACCGCAGTTGCAAGCCAGATTAAAGGGCAAATAATTACCTCAAATACAAATGATCCTGCAGGTAAACCAACACGACTAACGCAGGGCGAATATTTGCTTTGCTTTTGGTGGAAACGAAACATTACGGACTAAAGATTATAAATAAAGATTATAAATAATTGAGGATTGGACACTTTTTTGGACTTCATGACCGCTTCAAGGGTATAAAGCCTAAACATTTATATTTGTGTAGGCGATCTAAGTAGCTTAGAACTCGCTCAAGCTTCAAGAAGTTTTTTTACATCAAATCCAGGCCTCTAATTGAGACATCTGGCTAGTAAAGGAGACCTGTGTCTAACTTCAGTTTTACTACCACAAGTCACACCTTTTATTGTATATTATTAAAAACTGGCGAGCTGTGGTTACTTCATTCAAAAATGACGCACTGCACTCTAGTGGGCGCTTGCTGCTTTGCTGAGACCTGAGCGATCACTGACCCGTCTGAGGACAACCGTAGTCCAGTAATAATAATTATTTAATTAAAAGAATTGTTGGGATTGTTTGTATGCTGAGCTGTCGATGCTGCTGAACGTGTATGTATTTAACTACCAGAAGTTTTCATTCACAGGCAGAATATGTCATTGCTTTTGTTGTTTATTTAATTTGATGGAATTGTTTCAGCTGTTTTTGAGTCAGCTGATACACACACATATATAGTGCTATTCAATGCAGAACAGTAGTTGCTGAGAAGGGTAAAGAAGGTAAAGAAGTTTTTGATTAGCTTTTGGTTTCAGTTTATGACCATAGAAATCTATTTTCCAGATTTGACACTCGCCACCGAGGATGAAACAGAAAATGAATCTGCAGGCAGTTTAATTAAGAAAGTTTCAGTAACAACGTAGCTCTGACTGTATTGTTTCAACCAGCAGGTTGATTTTTATAGAAAGAATCATTGTTTCCTCAGAAGGTTTAAATCAAATATACTCGTGTCAGCGAAGAAGTAAAATTAATTCCTTTTTAAAAAGCAGGCGAGTAGAAGGTTTAAACAATAAAAAGACCCTGATTAATCAGTAAAATAACAACGGAAATCACTGATAATCACACACTGGAGTTTCATCAGATGGCAACGCTGTTCTCGATGCCTTCGGGACAGAGGTACGGATATGGCAGCTCCAGTTGGCTGTTGCGCTCTGTGATTTCATCCGAAATAGCCTTGAGTTCAGCCTGCACCTCCTCCACCAGCCTGCGGTGGGCGTCCTCTCTGAAGACCGCCTCCTTGTAGTGACACAGACGAACCTGCAGGGGGAGACAGACACAAACACAGTTATTAGATTTATTTTGTCAGCTGAGATTAACTGAATATCTGCAGCGACCGCAGCGGGTCAGAAAACACCGTCAGGCCTGCGAGCGCGCTAATTATTGTGAAAAACCAAGAAAATACATGTCTGATTTCTACAGAATCATATCAGGATTAAGAAACTGGCCTTTTCCTTTTCAGGTGTCATAATTAAAAAAGCTTTTTTGTAATATTCAGATAAAGTACAGAAAAAATAGACTCTGGTAAAAGCAGAAGTATTGATTCTTCACTCCAGTTGTAAAAGTGTAAAAGTAACCTCTGTTTCTGGGTATTTACTAGTGTTATTGATTCATTCGGGTCTAAATCTGGACATTTCAGTGCAAAGTATTTGAATTCTATATTATAGAATATAAATGCACAGCGATAGTATTTTTACTGCCTTGTTTCATTGATTTCAAGAGGAATCCGTCCTGGCAGGCATTAATAATAACTACATAGAAATATCCAATCTTGTCTGTGATGTTTGTTTTAGCTCATAGGGAGGTGTCACCGTAAATAATTGTTTAAAAATACGGTGGCAGCACGTTTAAGAAGATGGAGGCATTATGACTCTACCTGATTCAATTAGCTTATGTAAATGTTATGTAGATAAATATAAGATAATTTATTGATCCTCAGAGGGGGAATGTAGGCGTATTTAAATGTTTAATGAGGTGCATTTGACGAGACAGTGTGGGTGGGTTGAGCCTCACAAAGTTGGTGGCAGGCTGCGACAGTAGAGTCAGCACCGTCAGGACACGACAGCTTGAGTTCACGTCTGGCAGGAAGGACATGATGTCGTCCTCCGTCACCGCGCCTTTGACCTGCGGAGGAGGACACGACATGGAGGCCGGACAGTTCGGCATCCAGAGGGCAAAGTCCAGCTGGAGGACGCAAAGAAAGACACAGAGAAGACGATAATTAAATTATTATTAAATTAACAATAATGTCTAATAAACACTAAATGTGTATTTTGTGCATTTTTGCCTTAAAGTCGAACTAATTCTCGGACTTGTTTTTAAGATGTTTATAAAGTATCTCTATCTAGACTAAATCTAGACGTCCTGCAGGAGCCACACCTGGGAGAAGTTGACGGCTGCGTGCAGAGCCGAACAGGAGAAGACGATCATGGTGACAAACTTGGACACTTGTGATTTGGTCTGGAAGGACTGAGGGAAGCCTGAAGGACGAGAGGAGGAGACAGCTTCATTATTCAGTTTATTGTCTTAATCAGGGGACGGATTACAACCTCTTCTGTCTCTCTCGCACACACCTGAGTCGTGTGTGAATCCGTGTGTGTTGATGTCGGTGATCCAGAGTTGAAGCTCAGAGTCCTGTTGGACCTCATCGTCTCCACTGTAGTACAGGTCCACCCAGCTGCACACAAACCTGTCAAAGGAAACAACAGGACACAATGTCAATCAAAACATGGAATCTGACATTCGTCCAGCAGGGAGCTGGTTGAGGTGCGTTTGTTTACTTGTGCAGCGCATCCCACACTCTCAGTGCATCCTGGGCGTAGTAGCTCTGTGGCAGTTTGTCCAAAGCGCGGTCCGTCAAGTCGTCTGGGACGCACAGACATCGATAATAAATCCTCTCCGACGCCCGGGTGAGGAGAACGGGTAACGACTGCAGACCAGAGCCGACCCCCTGGAGGAACGAGACCAACACGTGACCAGATAACTGCACCAGTTTCCACTGGTCCCTCTTTAAGACTTCTGTCACAGGTGATGTACCTTATCAAACACGCCGCCGGCGGCCAGCAGCGAGGCTCTGGCCTGTAAGTTGATCTGTAGGGACGTCCGCACATGTGGCATCAGCAGCTATCGCAGCCAATCAGAACAAAGAAGAACAAAACACACTGAACATAATGATTGTGAGCTGAAGACACAATAACTGCTGAGGAACATGCCAACTGGTAAGTTTGGTTGGGAGTTTCTTGCCATCATCAAACCAGTTCAGAGCTTTAACCTTCAGAGGCAGCTGGACTCGGGAGGATCCATCTTTCCAGGATTCAAACCAAACCCACCAAATAAAAAGATGTGTCCCATACATCTTTCTTTCCCAACCTTTTTCCTGAAGAGAACCTTAGTGACATATTTTATGTATATTTCATATTATATTCAGAGACAGTATCACCAGGGCGACCTGTGTGTTAAGGCCACCATTTAAACGGCGAGACGGTGGCGTGGGTACCTGGTGCAGCGGGTGCGGCTCCGGCAGCTGTCGCAGCGTGGCCACGCAGCACAGCTCGCCCATCATGTGAGTCCTCAGGTAGTGGGAGGCCAACTGGTGACACTGGAAGTCTGCGCAGTGGACCCACATCTTAGCCAGCAGCCAATCACAGCCCCCGTCAGAGGGCAGGAAGACCGGGTTCTGAGGACCGGGTGTCTGTTGCAACTGGGGGGGGAGGGGGGAAATCACTGACTGATTGATTGATAGATTGACTGACTGATTGACTGACAGTGGTGGAATGTGATGTATAAAAAGTACATTTATTCAGGTACAAATTTAAGGTACTTCCAATTTAAGCTACTTATATATCGACTCCACTGAATCTCAGAGGGAATATTGACTTATTTACTATATTTATCTGACAGTATCTTTAGTTACTTCATATATTAAGATTTTAAGTACAAAACGCAAGAAACTTTATGATAAAATATGAATAATGTTTAATATGTTCATCATACATTGTACATAAAACATATTAAACTATCCAACAGTATATAAAACACTTCGAATCAGCTCCACCAAATACAACAGTAAAATGTTAATTACATATAAATACAGTAAAAATAATCAGTAAGTACTTTTACTTTTGATACTTTAAGTGTATTTTGCAGATAATTCATACTTTTACTTGTAATGGAGTATTTTGACTGTGTTGTATTGCTTCTTCTATTTAAAGCTCCTGCGAGTAGCTGTCATTGTGATTCTGCTGCCCCCTGTGGACAAAAGCGATAGTGTTTCTACTACCTTGTTTCATTGATTTCAAGGGGAACAACTGTATGGAAATATCTCTCTGATGGTTTATGTAGGTCATACAGAGGCATCAGTATTAGTCTGTTTATATCTATCACTGAAGTACATCAGTAAAAGACCTAAACGCTTACTTCCATCTATGAGTTCAATGAGTAATCACACTGCAGAATAATAGAATCAATAGGAGCTCACCTGGATGGCGATGGGGAGCAGCTGTCCCTGCTGGTTCAGGTGGAGGAGGCACAGCGGCGCAGACAGATACGACTGCTTCCCGTTGATCATGTTGGCCGGAACGCCGTCCAAAACCTCGTAGTCCAGCAGGTAAACGGTCCCTTTCTGTCATATCAGAAAACATCAAGATGTAAGAAAGCGCACAGCTGGCGGCCGACAATAGCTGGAAGGTCAGAGAACGGCGTGCACACCTGTAGCTCCAGCTCGAGGGAGGAGCCTTCGGGCAGGAAGGGGCGGAGCATGTCGGAGGTGACGGACAGGTTTGGAGGGAGGTGGTGGGTCTGATGCAGCATCAGAGGGTTGCAGCCGTTCAGACACTGGTGGCCAAAATACCAGTCCTCCATCCAGTGAGCCTTAACGAACCCTGAGACATTAAAGATAATCATTATAATGATCAATAAAATGTCAAACCATGACAGTAAAAGACTGCAAACTCTAAATAGGTTTCTGTAACAGTAAAATACTGTGATATCTCATGGCAAAACGTTTATTTATACGCCATTTTAAAGGAATTTATATGTAATAAAGTTGTTTTTTTATATTACAGACTGTAAAATACACAGAATTTAAAACTTAAAATCAACAGTACTAATGCCCTTTTACTGTAATAGTAGAAAAGGTTCTACTGTATGTTTTGTGGTAAAGTTCTGACAACCACAGCTGACAGTATTTTACCGTAAGAGTGTTTGTTTATCGGCCTTATGAGCACAGGTATTGGTCGATGCCGTTTATCTTAAAATGATTATCAGTTGACGAGCTACAAATCACATCTGAGCGATCTAATGTTTTACAGCTTTATTTAGAAAATCAAATAATGCTAAGAACAGTCACTCGAGCAACCGAGTGAACCTGTTAAATATCTGTCACTACACCAGGAAGGAGAGATAACAACCAGCAGCCAGTGTTAATCTCGTTGACGAAGACTATGACAAAAAATATTCGTCAACGAACCTTCTTCACGGACGAAAACTAAATAAAAACTAAATAAAAAGTCAGATATGATGACGAAGACTGTGACGAAATATAACTGACACTTAAGTCAACGAATAAAAATGAGACGAAAATGTTAGGGAGGGACGAATGGAGAAGAGATCCAATCAGAACTTGTCTTTTTGTGGGACAAGTTGGGAAGAAATCCAATCAGAGCGAATCTTTGAGGGTAGGTTGATCTATGCAGAAGCAGCAGAGCCAATTTTTAAAGCCGCGGCAAATGCAGGCGCAACAGCTAAACGAGTTTGCAGAACTTCGCACAGTTTCGAGGACGTTTTCACAACAGTTAGGTTGCTTACATTATATTTAGTTGTGTTTAGTTGCACAGTCTTAGTTACACAGCTTTGACTGATTTCAGTTGACTTTGCTCGTTAGCAGCGCGCTAACGTTTTGCAGTGCACCCGGTCCGAGGGCAATGCATGGCTCATGAACAACAGAAATGTCAGAGCTAGGTCTAGGACGAAAACGAAGAATTGACATCTGGTCACACTTCACATATGACAACAAGGACAACAAGACCGTCTGTAAACCGTGTGGAGCAAAAATCACTGGGAAAAACACCACCAACTGGAAGTGACATTTACAGACGACTCATCCAGAAATACATGCGAAGGTTAGCATACACACTAAGGTTATTTTATCAGATAAACCACCGTGATTTAGTCGACTAAAATCTGCTAATATTTAGTCGACTAAAACTAGACTAAGACTAAAAGATTTCAGATGACTAAAATATGACTAAAACTAAATGGTGTGTTATTCAAAAGACTAAGACTAAATCAGAATTTGCTGTCAAAATTAACACTGCCAGCAGCCCAATTAAAGAAGCACGTAGCAACATCCGAGCAACCACCTGGCAGTGTGCTCAACAATCATTTCACTACGCAAACAAAAAGTAGTCCTAGTGAGTTCCTGTCAATAAGTTTCAGCTTCAGCCTCCACACTCAAAAGAAGATTCAGTTTGAAGAGTTTCTCACTGGCGATGTCGTTCTCGTGTCCGCTGTGAGCAAAAACCGCCTCCAGCTCCGTGAAACTCGTCCAGGCCTCCGCTCGGCCCATGAAGCCTTTCAGGTAGTGCAGGTTGGCGGCTGGACTGAGGACAAAGAAACACAATATCTCCTCAGCACTCCTTCACGTCCTCAGTCTGCTTCTGGTTGCTGAACCTACATTAAGTGTGTGACTTCACCTCTTCTGTGTGTAGCTGAGGTTCGGCCCGAGTTCAGACATTTTGTTCAGGTCAATGCACTGCGGAGTTCCCTCGATGAACTTACGCCATCTGAAATAAGGACACAAGTCAGTTTTATTTTTACAGCCCAGAATCACAAGAACAACTCCCCCAGCACAGAGCCACAGAGGAGGGATCCTCTCTCAGGACGGACCGACATGCAATAGAAATCGAGTGCAGAATGACACCTAGTGGTGAAAAGCAGGTACTATAGCAAATTATCTATTTGTCACCAAAAACTCTAGACCCACCAGTGTAGGGGGGTCCAAACTACCACCCACAATCATTGACCATATATACAGCGATCAGCCCTAACACAGTGAGCACTACCAGTAACTCTGATTATCTAAAATGGGCAGCGTGAGGATCTGATCCACTTTGACAAGAACCACATTGTGATGGACGACTGGGTCAGAACATCTCCAAACTTGCAGCTCTTGCGGGGGGTTCCCGGTCTACAGAGGTCAGTACCTAATAAAAGTAGTCCAAGGCCGTGGCTCATTGATGCAGGTGGGGAGTGAAGGCTAGCCCGTGTGGTCCGATCCAACAGACGAGCTACTGTAGCTCAAACTGCTGAAACTGTTAATGCTGGTTCTGATAGAAAGGGGTCAGAATGGAGAACGCCCAGCCCTAAAGCATACCCTACTTTATGTAGGTCTATTTTACTGTAAATCATTTACTAAATGAACATCATGCTGTATGGAAGAAGACTGAAACTAGAGACTGAGACCGGAAACTCATCAGGAAACTGTTTACTGAGCTCATTAACCACGTGTGAAGTCAGTATGAAACATACAATCTTCTGTGACCTCAGCAAGCTTTATTTTGAAAGTGTTACCGTAATCGAGATCCCGACATTTCCAAAGACAGCAAACGTGTTTACCTGATGATCTTCTGTTGGTGTTGCAGCTGTCTGAGTCTGTGCTGCTTCAGTTTCTCTTCTGTCTCGTCCTTCAGCAAACACACTGCGGAGGAATAATAGGAGATTCTAATATTAACAATAAAGAGAATAACATCTCCTCACCAAAATGTGAGTATGTCGGCACAAGCTCAACGCTACGTCACAAGCTTCTATTTGACGACTTTCTCGCAAGACTTCACAACATTTCAGACTCACTCAGCAACTTTATTTCCAAAAAGCTACAAGCAACAAATTATATTATATTGTAATTCATTCACATTCGGGTCTTTACCTCTCCTCTTGGGCCATGTGAGGCTCTTTTGACCTTCTCTCACTCTTTCTGTCTGGATGTCTGGATCAGGACAGCTTGTAAATATGTAAATAATTTGTTCGATCTTTTACTCTAGTGGTGAGATTCTGACGTATATTACGTTGTGAGTAGCTTTGTTCCTCTGCTGCCTGTGGACTGATTGACTGATGTGTTTCTATGTAGCGATGTGACTAGTCCAACAGAGTCCACAACACAGAGTCCAACACAGAGTCCACAACACAGAGTCCACAACACAGAGTCCAACACAGAGTCCACAACACAGAGTCCACAACACAGAGTCCACAACACAGAGTCCAACACAGAGTCCACAACACAGAGTCCAACACAGAGTCCACAACACAGAGTCCAACACAGAGTCCACAACACAGAGTCCACAACACAGAGTCCAACACAGAGTCCACAACAGAGTCCAACACAGAGTCCAACACAGAGTCCACAACACAGAGTCCAACACAGAGTCCAACACAGAGTCCACAACACAGAGTCCACAACACAGAGTCCACACAGAGTCCCAACACAGAGTCCACAACACAGAGTCCAACACAGAGTCCACAACACAGAGTCCAACACAGAGTCCACAACACAGAGTCCAACAGAGTCCAACACAGTCCACAACACAGAGTCCAACAACACAGAGTCCAACACAGAGTCCACAACACAGAGTCCAACACAGAGTCCAACACAGTCCACAACACAGAGTCCAACACAGAGTCCACAACACAGAGTCCAACAGAGTCCAACACAGTCCACAACACAGAGTCCAACACAGAGTCCAACACAGAGTCCACAACACAGAGTCCAACAGAGTCCACAACACAGAGTCCAACACAGAGTCCAACACAGAGTCCACAACACAGAGTCCAACACAGAGTCCAACACAGAGTCCACAACAAAGAGTCCACAACACAGAGTCCACAACACAGAGTCCAGCTAGTGGAACAAACTGTCTGATTGGGCAGTTAGCTGGATAACGTTAGCTTGCTATGTTTATTATGTTGAACAAAAGAAAAATCCAGCAGGATCTTGTTATCTTACACTTTCCACTCCGCAGCTCCACGTCCCCATCTGCTGTCTGCAGCCACCTGTCACACAGGAACACCTGAACTTCTGGTTCCTCAGGCGTCTTCCCACCTCGCCCACCCTCCTCAGCCAGTCTGCGAACCTCCACCCGGCTGCAGTGCCAGTCCAGATCGGGGAAACCGGTCCGCGGCTCCAGATGAAGCCGGATCAGAACCAGACAACCCAGAGGCCCGTTGACCTGGACCCGAACCGGACACGACTGTTAGGACAGAGGAAGAGACGGACACACTGAGTTCCTTCCACTACAGACGAGAGGTTTCAGACTGGATTAAGGTGGTTTCGGACAGCGAGTGGTTCCTAACTTAGACTACACGTTGCTAAAATAGAATAGAATTCATCTGAAAAGAGTCCTGTGACCAGTGTCCCGGTTTTAAGCCAAGATTGTTGTTAAACGTTGTAAAATGAATTCAGATTCTAACCAGGATCATTGTGCATCATCCTTTGGCCGAACATTAACGTTATTGATTAGGAGGTGTTCGTTGTTGTTCGTGGAAACATGATGAGACTCACCGATCCGGGCAGGAGATGACGCTCGCCCTCGTTCACGCTGACGCGCTGAGTCTCCCCATCCGAGCCAATCAGAGTGAGCCACAGGTGGCTGAAGGTTCCACAGGTGGGACCAGGTGAGGTGTGGACCGTCACCTCGAACTCCTGACAGGAAGTCATCGTGTCGGACAGACGTAGCTGGAGAGGACAGACCTCCACAAAACATCTACTCAGTCTTCAGGTGGATTTATAGTCGAGTAAAAATAGTGGTTTTGTAAATGGAGTCTGGTCAGTGAGATGAGACATTAGTGACAGACTTTCATCTATAAAACCTGATTATATGCGTCCTCGCCCTCTCACACACTGCTGTGAGCAGACACGTTGGGGTTTTCTGCTGTAAAGGTCAGTGTATTTTAATGTTTGGTAAACTGCAGCTCATTTGTTTATTTTGCTCATATTTGACTTGGAAATGAGCGACAGCGACTGTTAGCGTGGGCGCTGTGTCACATGACACATCTGTCCAGCTTCAGTACACAGAAAGAAAACGTGTTCAGAGATGTACTAACACTGCACTCTTTCATCCCATCACTTCCTTCTTTTATTGATTCCTGACCAGGAATCAACCGGAAACTTCCTGTTTAAAGAGAACATGTAAGAAGCAACTTTTTGTGCCTTTTAGCTGCACTGAAAATAACTGATCAGATTTTATCTGATGAGGAAATAAACCCTCAGGCTGTTTTGGAGCATTTTAAACAGTAAGTCTTTATTTTACAGGCTTTGTAGTGTTTGGCTCAGTTTAAACCAAATCACTTGTTTAATGTTGGAAACTTCCTTCCCCGTATTTGTTGAATTATTTGTTTTCCTGTTGACAAATTTTATCATCAACAGTTTTGAAAAAAAGAAAAATTCACAAACTGTTTTATTTGCATTTAATTTCTATTGAGTTCCTGAATAAAATGCAAACAGAAACAGGTTTTCTCCGACTGTGAATCTGCACCAAACTTCAGTCTGATTTGAAGCGTTTTTAAACTGTTCTTTTCACCGATCGATAGAAAACTTTCAAAGACTATTTTTGTCACTTAAAATAGAAAATAAAATCAAGTCTGATAAGAAAAGATATATTAAAAGCTTTAGTTTAAATTCTGAAGAGATTTAAGACCTGATTTAACTGAATAAACAACCTCATCTTACAGGATTTTTGGAGGATTTTAAGTTGGAGGCCTCCTGATTTTTCATCTGCAGGTCAGGCAGCTGTGACCTTTGACCCTTCGTCTGTGGGTTTTCATATTGTTTGTTAAAAATGAAATCCCCCTGTAGTGCTGCTGCCTCTCTGTTCTCTTTTAATGACATTTGTTTATATTCAGATAACTTCTATGTTGTACAGTAAATCAGACTCTGTGACTCAATTAGATTAACTGACTAAATAACGGTTAATTAAAATATATATTCGTACACCGGACTGTTTTTAGACCATTAAATAAATCAAAATTATACCTGTGATAGAAAATATTCAACAGCTGATGTAAGTTAAGTTATTCTAAAGGCGGGTAAGAATAACACAAGAAGGAAATGAGAGTAAAAACTGTGTCAGATAGAGGTATTACACAGGTTATAGGAATATTTGGATTAATACAGTAACTGATATTGCATTGTGTAATTAATAAAAAAACAGACAGACAGACAGACAGACAGACAGGTACCTGCAGCGCGACGCCTCCTCTCCTCTCTGGGCTGATGTGTGTTGAATGGCAGCTGCAGGTTACGGCGCTCGCCTCTCATCTTAATGCCCCGCCCACTGCAACACCTCCACTTCCTGATTGAACCTGAACACCTGAACGACTCCCTCCAGGTACCGCAGTACTGCACAGTGCGCATGTCCTGGTGCAATCAGCCTCATACTAGTTGTTGGTGACGTTTCTTTGAGATGTGAATTATGTTAATTAAGTATTCAGATGCTGTGTCACAAAACCACTTTATGACCTATTGACTTATTGATGTACGTCATATATATATATAGAAGAATATGAGATGGACTGTATGCTGTTTTGCGCAGTTGGTTCCATAGTGTAGCGGTTATCACGTCTGCTTTACACGCAGAAGGTCCTGGGTTCGAGCCCCAGTGGAACCACTGTTTTCTTTTCTTTATTAACATCGCTGGCAAATACACAAAAAGAAGGGACGTCATTATAGAAGATGCAGAAACAATAATACGATCCATAATCGATATTTTATCACAATACCAGACGCCCGAAAGACGGAGAAAGAAGAGACAAAATGATCTCCGGTTTCCGCCACTAACCTTCAAAATAAAAGCGGGTGAGGTTGGTCACAAATACGTGTTTTAAACTGTAATTCTGCATCTTTATTGAAAAATCCAGTCCTGCTCGTTTTTGCTGTCAGAAACGCAGCAGTATTTTCATAATGTGTTCAGCGTGGCGGGAAGTTATTATTACCTGTTACATTGGTATTTTAATTTTCATGAATAATGCAAGAAATAAATCCTGTTAGGAGATAATGTATGTAGATAATGTAGTCCAACTTTCAGCCCATATTCTGTCACAGCTTCAGACCTTAACCTCAACATTTAATCAGCGACTGTACAAAGATAACAGTGTGTGTGTGTGTGTGATGTTCTCGACAACCGTTCATCTGATCGATTTAATCTTGGTGTGTGTGGAACAGACTTTTGGCAATCTAACGTTTAATCAGCGAGTGTAAAAAGAGTGGAGATGCCGGGGATTGAACCCGGGGCCTCATACATGCGAAGCATGCGCTCTACCACTGAGCTACATCCCCACACAATGCACAGGAACGGCCGGGAGTCACTACTTAAATCTTACAGTGACAAAACGTTATGCTCTTGATATAATATATTTTATATTGTATTTCACATGAGAAATTTACCACTTGTTACTATAGTTTAACAAGCGTTTGGCTTCAGGTAAACAGAATGAAAGCAGACCCAGTTTAACTGACACAATCACCCAGACTCCGGATGGACAGGAGACTATTTTACCGCTGGTTCCAATTGCACCTGGCTGCAGTATGCAGATCGGGGTTGGGCTAAATGTGGGCGGAGCTAAACGTTTGACTCCACGTAAAATTAGTAAAACCCAAGTTTAAATGTGGGCGGAGCTAAACGCGTAATTATATATTATTATAATAATATATAATATGACTATATAGTATATATAGATGTTAATACAATTTCAAAGGATCAGGTCTGGTGCCAAAATGTAGTTCTTTGGGAAAACATCTTTTTGTATATGCGTGCGTGTTTGTGTATGTGTGTTTGGTAATTAGGCGCAGCCAGGATGTCTAAAAAAAGAAAAGTGGACATAAGAGACTTCTTTAGAAGTCAAAGTGTAAGTTACTCAAAGAAATGCGTTACACCCATCCTGCAACACCTTCACTGGCTCCCAATAAAGCAGCATATCCGCTATGTAAATGAGGTCTGTTTACCATATATTCCAAAAATAAGTGTAAAATTGGTGGTACTGAGTTGGAGTGAAGTTGACTAACAAGGTGAAACACAGAATTGGGTGATAATGTTTTGTTACATGCTTTACAACCAGTCAAACCAAAAAAGGGAACAGTATACTTAAAAGTAGAAATAGAAAACTAGAAGAGCTACTAGAAAACACAGTGAACTGAAAGAGTTAGTGTTTTATTAAAAATACTTGTGTCCCCCCAACTCTGAAATCAAAATTTCGTCCTTGGGCTCACTCCTCTGTTCCCCATGCTGGCTGTTTGGATCCAGCAGATCTCATAACGATTCTTTAGCCTTTAATATGTCAATCTCATCTATCTTACATGAGTATATATATCCGTGTGCAGGGGCGGACTGGGACAATAATTCAGGCCGGGAGTTTGATACCATCCCAGGCCACCACCACCCGATTAACGCAAAACACCAAGAGTGAGTTAGGTTGGGCGCCTACCATAGACCGCGGAACCGGGGGGCCCGGGGGCCACGGCCCGGGTAACTTTTGTACTCTGACAAACTATTTTATATGAATAAAAGCCTAAGTTGTATCTGTGTTTTTACGAGCCAAACAATACTAGTCATCACACACCTTCACTCACTCTCACCAACTGCTGCCGATAAAAAACTCCCACTGACGGCTGCATTTTGATTTGAAATGAGTGTGCATTGTTTATCAACTACGTCATGTATGAGCGTCGTCGCAAGCTAACGGCGGGCACCTGCCAAACCGCTGGCTGCATTACCTGCGAAAATGAAGAGACAGAAGTCAATATCCGATTTTTTTACAAATAAACAGGCAAAACAAAATGAGCAAACTACTCCAGCTTCCACTGTTGCCTCAACAACAGACCCGGAGCGTCCATCTCCACCACGGACTCCGACGACGTGTGTGTGTGTGTGTGTGTGTGCACATCAGTCTGATATGAGTGTTGACTTGTGATAATAATGACTATGATGTTGATTTAGATTCAAGGCAGCAAGATGAGTTTTGGTTGTGGTTGTGGACTCGACTGGATTTAGCCTATTTTTTTTTTTGTTAAAGTTTCTTTTTTGGTTTTTTTTAAAAAAAAGTTTTGTTTTTTTGTTGCCTGCAGTGCTGTGAAGGAGTTGTAAAGGAGGGGGTGTGTTTGTGCCCCATTATTTAAAAATCAAGCACGACCCGAACCAAACCTCTGATATTGATCATGGCATGTCAGCCTACTGTCCGTGTGCGCCAGAAAACACCAACCCGACGGCCTCCCGGTCGGTCAAAAAATGCAAACCGATGCAAATTGGAACGACGTTCTAAAGCGCGAAAACCCCCAAAAAAGTTTTAAAAAAAAAATGTTGACTTTGCTAAACAGAGTTTCATCTGTGTCGTCAGTATTTTTTTCATCAGGGGAGTGTTGATAGTAGTCAAGAAGGATCGTTTTGTCATTACTCGTGAACGGAAAATACGATGGCTAATAATAACAAGATACTGGAATCGTCACTTCCGGTTTTTTGTACACCTCTGATTGTAGTGGGCGAGCACTCCACCAATCAGATTGGTCATTGAGTCAGACGGCCACTGGCCGTTCTACATGTTGAATCGGCCAAAATGAACGCCGACCCCCACTCTGACTGACGACGGCACGCGACACACCAACCAACAACCACCCCCCCCCCCCCCCCCCCCGTCCCCCCTTGTCCGCCCGACCAAAAAAAGCTGGTTTGTTCTCTCCCTATAAAAAAAAATTGGGGGGGGGGGGGGGGGGGGAAAAAAAATTTCATAAATTTTTTCTTTTATGCAGGTGCTGTGACAGAGAGGCAACCCAGCTGAAGGGGGCCCCGAGGGACGGCTGACGTCAATGACAAAATAATGGAACTACTTTAGACGCTGCAACGACAAAGCATTAGAAATGCCCCGCACAGGCCCTTTCGAGTTGTCACTGGCTAGGGGTGTGTTTGTAGGGGGCCCACATTATTTAACAAACTACAAGCCCAAAACCCACTCCATCAATGATCTCCTGGCAAACCAGAATGAGTTTCCTCGACAGAAAAGGAAGCTGATCACCATCCCCGGGAAAACCCTCACCACCCCCACCAAAAAACCCCCCCCCCCCACCCAAAAAGAAGGCTGGGGCCACTTAGTCACCTCTGTGAATCCCTCCTCCTCCACCACAGTGACGACCTCTGCCTCCAAGAGAGGGACGTCAACAGACTCTTCAAGAGGCAGAACCCCGCAAAGCAGCCGGACCAGATTCTGTTTCCATCCACCCTGAAGCACTGTGCTGACCAGCTGTCTCCGGTGTTCACTGACATCTTCAACACCTCTTTGGAGATATGTCATGTGCCAGCCTGCTAAAGATCCACCATCCCCTGTCCCCAAGAAAGCAAGGACCACAGGACTAAATGACTACAGACCTGTTGCCCTCACCTCTGTGGTCATGAAGTCTTTTGGGGCCCTCTGCTCTCTCCCTTCTAAAAACCATAACCACCCCCTCCTCCCCCCCCCCCTTTTTTTTAAAAAAAAAAACAGTTTGTAAAAAAAACAAAAAAAACACCTCCCCCACCCCCCCCCCCACACCAACCCCAAACGCCACTGTCCGTGTTTGCGCCAGAAAACACCATACCAAGATGAGTCCCTGCTCTGCTAAGGACAAGCAGATGGGAAGATTGACCATCTGATCCCAGACCATCGCCCGGATCCCCGGGCTGGTTTTTCCCTGTCTTCCCTGTATACTAACAGTTGCACCTCCAGCACCAGCCGTCAGGCTCCTAGTTCGCGGATGCACCTCATTGGGCTCAGCTCTGGTGGAGATGAGTCCGCCTAAAAAAGGAAAATTAACATCCTGGGACCCTGGGGAACAGAACAACCTGGAGCTAAACGCTCTAAAAACAGTGGAGATGGTTGTAGACTTTAGGAAGAACCCAGCCCCACCCGCCGCTATCATCCTGTGTGACTCCCCAGTTGACTCTGTGGAGTCCTTCCGCTTCCTGGGTACCATCATCGCCCAGGACCTCAAGTGGGAGCTGAACATCAGCTCCCTCTCCAAGAAAGCCCAGCAGAGGATGTACTTCCTGCGGCAGCTGAAGAAGTTCAACCTGCCAAAGACGATGATGGTGCACTTCTACACCGCCATCATCGAGTCCATCCTCCCCTCATCTATCACCATCTGGTACACTGCGGCCACTGCTAAGGACAAGGGCAGACTGCAGCGTATCATTCGATCAGCTGAGAAGGTGATCGGCTGCAATCTGCCATCCCTCCAGGACCTGTACGCCTCTAGGACCAGGGAGCGTGCAGGTAAGATTGTGGCTGACCCCTCCCACCCCGGTCACAATCTCTTTGAGATACTTCCCTCTGGCAGGAGGCTGCGGTCCATCAGGACTAAAATGTCTCGCCATAAAAACAGTTTCTTCCCGTTGGCAGCTGGCCTCCTTAACAAGGCCCGGATTACCCACTGTCATTGACTCTTATACCCACCCTGTATATAAAGTATGCATTACATTAAAGCACCCACGTTCTTCTGCACAGCTTTCTCTTTCTCTTCTTATCTTTATCTATTTATTTTTTGAAAGTACTTTATTTTTCTGTGTGATTTCTGTGTGATTTCTGTGTGATTTGAATAATTGTATATTTGTATATTTGTATTTGTATATGTATATGTATATGTATATGTATATGTATTTTTATGCACCAGGTCACATTAAATAAATAAAAACCTACTTGGCAATAAACAAATTCTGATTCTGATTCTGATTCTGATTCTGATATCAGCGACACAACTTGAAACCCCCGTAGACACTGCAGTGACACGTCCGGAATCTCCCTAATGGGCCCCCTTACTAGCCAACATCGACGTTTGGTCCCGGTCAAACACACAGATGAAAAAATGAAGCGAACATATCTCTGGGCACACGAAAAGAAAAAAAAAAACAAGAAGAGGATGAAAAGAAAAACCGTGAGTGGTGAAGTGGGAATGTGTAAGCTATGTGTGTTACATTATAAAAAGTAGTGCTGCCAGCCAGCCTGCCACTTTATCCCAAACTCCCAGTCATCCACCAAGCACTAAAAAAGTTTACTGCACATTAAAATCTGTGTAAAGTGAATTCAGCCATTTTCTTCTAAACACATTCATAGCCACACAATAGGTTAGTCCTTTGCTGCCAGTGCCAATGATATTTTCTCCCAGAAAAAAGCATTTGTTGTCAGATGTTAAAACTGATACCAGCATCAGTTCTGCTGTCAGTTTAGTCTGTTTAAACTGGTGTTAATTTGTATTTGGAATTATGTTTTTTAAATGTGAGCTGCTGGACAACTGAATTTCCCTTCGGGGATAAATAAAGTATATCCTATCCTATCCTATATATCCATACATTTTCTGCTATAGCCTAAATGTTACATTACTGCAAAATGGCACCGTCCTAGCGGGAGCCTGTTGTAGTAGCTCCGGGTATTACTGTCGGTTTTTAGTGTTTTTAGTTGTTTTGTAGTTTGTTTTAATATCTTTATTTTTCATTGCTCTGTGCATCTCCACACCACTCTACGTGGAGATGCTTTTTTCAGTGGTTTGGGCACTTTTTACCACACTTTATTGCACTTTGGTCTCTCCGGATGACTGGGAGCCATGCCTGCAACTCCGCAGGCATTGTTTACACTCGCGACCAGCTGATGGCCCTGAGGTACCCGACCCTCTTGGCCGGAGAGGGACCTTCCGTACCAGAGGAGCTAAAGAGGAGACGGCAAGGCTGAAGAGTGGGGGTTGTCGCCGTTGGACTACGTCCATTTCATTTGCCGAGGGAGTTTTCCAGTATTATCGCCATCATTGTTTACATTCCTCCGTCTGGGAAAGCAGAAGCAGCGTGTGACGTCATCCACACTGTGACTGTAGGACTTCAAACAAAACACCCTGGGGACTTCATCATCATCACAGGGGATTTCAGTCATGTTACTCTTTCATCCACACTCCCAACCTTCTTCCAGTTTGTCACATGCACCACCAGAGACAATAAGACCTTGGACCTGCTGTACGCAAATGTTAAAGATGGGTACAGCTCCACTGCCCTGCCTCCACTGGGCAGGTCAAACCACAATCTAGTCCAGCTCTCACCATCATACAAGCCTGTGGTTCAGCAGCACCCAGTCACAGTGAGGACAGTGAGGAAATGGTCTCCTGAGGCCATGGAAACACTGCGCGGAGCGCTGGAGGCCACCGACTGGGATGCTCTGTATGAGCCACATGGGGAGGACATTGATGGCCTACGGGGAGGACATTGATGGCCTAACTGACTGTGTCTCTGAATACAATGGGTTCTACAGAGACAACACCATCCCCACCAAAAAGGTCTGCTGTTACCCAAACAACAAACCGTGGGTAACTAGCGACCTGAAAGGCTCTTCTCAACGAGAAGAAGAGGGCCTTTAGATCAGGGGACCGAGCAGAACTCAAACGGGTACAAAGAGAGCTCAAACGCAGCATCAGTGAGAGCAAGGACAACTACAGGAGAAAACTGGAAGGCAGCAACTCCAGGGAAGTGTGGAGTGGGATGAAAGAGATCACTGGCTTTCAGAGAGGAGGGGGGGCAGCTGAGGGGAATGAACAATGAGCCAACAAGTTTAACCAGTTCTTTAATAGGTTCAACTCCCCCACCCCCGGCAGCCCCCCCTAATGCTCCCCTGAGCAACAACCCCAGGACACTCCTACAACCCCCCACCACCTCCTGCCCCACACCACCATTTATATACTGTTATTAACAATTCCAGAATGGCGCCGGCGACAACGGCAGCCTGTTATGGCAGCTCCTATCATTGTTGTAGTTTTAATGGGTTTTCAGTGTGTTTTTAGCTATTTTTAACCGTTTTCTTACTTTCTTACTTTCTTACTACTTTGTTCACGTCGCCTAAATACTTTTTTGGGCGTTTTTGAGCACTTTTTATTTTTTGTTTGCACGGGTCTCCATGGCGACGGGGAGTCGCATTGTTTACACCTGTGACCAGATGATCACCCTGAGGTACCCGAGCATCCTGACCGGAGAGAGACCCTCCATACCGGTGGAGCTGAGGAGACGGCGAGGCTGCAGAGTGGGGGTTAAACGGAGGATGAAGAAGAGGAGCTTTAAACCCTACAAACGTGGCTGTACGAGCAGATACCGGACTCCAACGTCACCATTCCCGGCTTCCAGGCGGTTCGAGCCGACAGGGACACCACCGCAACCGGCATGAAGGAAGGAGGGGGACTGTCCGTGCTCATAAACAACAGGTGGTGTAACGCCGGGTACGTCTGTGTGAAAGAGCGTCTGCAGCCCCGGGAACTTTCCAGTGTTATTGCCATCACTGTCTATATTCCTCACAGTGGTCTTCATCATCACCATCACTGTTTACATTAATGATGTCTTATTTATTCTCCTGTACAGCACTTTGGTCAACTTTGGTTGTTTTTAAAGTGCTTAACAAATAAAGTTGGATTGGATTGGATACCACTACCATCATGTCATCAGTACTATTACCACAATGTTGCAACTACAACTCTTTGCACCTTACCTACCTGTTTATCTTTTTTTATATTTTCTAAGTTTTTTATTCTATTGTTGTTTTTTATTCTATTGTATTTTAATGTACCTGGCTGCTATAATGACCCAATTTCCCTTCAGATATTAATAAAGTTTTCTATCTATCTATCTATCTATCTATCTATCTATCTATCTATCTATCTAACATGAAGCATTAAAGTTGTTACTGCAAATGGATGTTCAATAATTATTCCATACAGATCTCAAATGTTATGTTTGTGTAGCATGCACAGTTCTTTACTTTCCTTTATGCAAGCCAACCAAATACATTGTGCTCTTTTCTTTTTTCTTCTTCAAAGTGCTTTGTTGAAGTTTTTTGGCCCACAACAACAACAACAACAACAACAGCAGCAACAGCAGCAGCAACAGCAGACCTCTACACATCGAAGTAGGAACTTATTTAGTTTCCTTTTTAAAGTTAAGATTACAGTGACTTGCTCTCCCATTTAAAATATATCATGGGATCGATCTGATTTAATATGACAACACAAATATTTTTCTTAATGTTGTAATGATATTCGGAGATCCTTAGATATGGAAGACATAGTGGCTGCATTTGCAAAAGCCAAGGCCCGCAAGCAGCAGTTTTAGGGGAAAAAAGGCACTTCTATTGGACTGTGAATGTAGGACCAAGGTGTCACAGCAAGTCTTAAGTTCTACCTTTCCACTTTAATTCCTTGTTTGTTTGTTTTTTTTTTTCTTGGTTGTGTTTTTATCATTCTGAAAAAGTTGCACATTAAAGTTATGTTTGATTTTCTGTTATTTATATATTGTATGTAAAGTTTGCATTCAGATAGTTATGTTATTATTGATTTTATTATGTTATTGTTTAATAAAACTGCACACACCAAGGCACGCAAATTCGTGAAGCATTCATCATTTTTCACCCTGGTCACATCTAAAAGTTAAATCCATGCATTTGTTACTTCAAGGCTGGATTACTGCAACTCTTTATTATCAGGTTGCCCCAATAAGTCCATTAAAACGCTCCAATTAATTCAGAACGCTGCAGCACGAGTACTGACAGGAACTAGAAAAAGAGATCACATCTCTCCTGTACTAGCTTCTCTGCACTGGCTCCCTGTAAAATGTAGAATTGAATTTAAAATCCTCCTCCTCACCTATAAAGCTCTTCATGGTCAGGCCCCTTCATATCTTAAAGAGCTCATAGTACCCTATTACCCCTCTAGAACACTACGTTCTCTGAATGCTGGGCTACTTGTGGTTCCTATAGTCTCTAAAAGTAGAACAGGAGCCAGAGCCTTCAGTTACCAAGCTCCTCTCCTGTGGAACCAGCTTCCAGTTGTGGTTCGGGAGGCAGACACCCTCACCACATTCAAGAGTAGGCTTAAGACGTTCCTCTTTGATAAAGCTTATAGTTAGGGCTGGATCAGGTGAGTCCTGAACCATCCCTTAGTTATGCTGCTATAGGCCTAGACTATCGGGGGATTTCCCATGGTGCACTGAGCTCCTCTCTTCCTCTCTCTTTCTGCACTCATTCATGTTCCATTAATGCATGTTACTAACTTCACTTCTTCCCCGGAGTTCTTGTGCTTTCTCGTCTCGCAGGTTCTTATCGATCCTGGTGGAGCCTCCTGCCATGGTCCTGCTAGATCGCCATTACCAATACTGTTGTTGCTGTGCACCTGTCTGTCTGTCTCTCTCTGCCTCTCTCTCTCTCTCTCTCTCTCTCTCTCACCCCAACTGGTCGAGACAGACGACCACCCACCTAGAGCCGGAGGATCTGTCCTAGGTTTCTGCCTTTTAACAGGCAGTGTTTCCTTGCCCTTGTCTCCAAGGTCTTGCTCATGGTGGTACTGTTGGGTCTCTGTAAATAATGTTATAAAGAGTTCGGTCTAGACCTGCTCTATTTGAAAAGTGTCCTGAGATAACTTCTGTTATGAATTGGCTCTATACAAATAAAATGATTGAATTGAATTAACACTAACCCTAACCCTCTTATTTAGGGTTAGTAAGGATGGGCCAAGAGGTCCAGGTTGAGTGTTTGGTTTGTTTTGGTTAGTGTATTTGTGCAAACTTTGTGTTTTTTGCTAGCTTTTACTAGCTGGCTACTCCAGTTAACAAAAAAGTTTATATATATATATATATAGGGTTAAGGGTAACTTTGCACTATAATTATACAACTTATTTATACATTCTATACATTTTTTATATTGCATTTTATGTTGCTTTTTTTATATGTCTAGGTTGTTCCCTTTACTTATTGTGTTGTTACTGTGTGTATCTGTCAACATTATATACAGTATGTTCTCAGCACTGATGAATTATATATACAAGGTGCTTAGGGTAACACCTTATATGTTTTATCTGTTAACTGCACACGCCAAGGCAGAAAAAGTTTATCTTTCTCAGAATAAATGCAGCAGCAGGAATGGCCAGCACACACTCTTTTTCCCAGGAAATCTCCACAGGGGATATCTTGAGAAAAATAACTTCCTTTTCTAACCTAACCTAGTCAGTGCCTTCACACTGTTGTAAAACCTGAGAATTAAGAGTTATTCTGGCCAAATTTAAAAAACTTTGTAGAAACAGACCGAATCTAAACTAAAAACATGGAAAACAGGAGCAAAAAACGGAAGAACAAAAGCAAAGCCAAGAGGAAAAGGGAAAAAGGGCCATTAAGGAAAACAAAGGAAACAAAGGGAAATGCTAAACAAGGCCCTAAAAAAACAAACAAAAAAACCCCAATGGACTACGTGGGGCACAAAACACCCCCGGCCAGCAGCCAGAGCAGAGGAAGGAGAGCTCCAGACCTCAGAGGGGTCCATCCTGCACAATCAGCCGGCCGCCGGGCAGATGCCCTCCTCCAGAGAACCCAACGACAGAGGAAACCACATCTCAACAACACAGCAGTTCAGACCAGGGACTCTATAACACCGGCTACACCACCACCCCAGGAAAACACCCCCAAGGAGAAAGAGACCATTTCAGCCATTTACTTCTAAACACATTCATAGCCACACAATAAGTTAGTCCTTTGCTGCCAATGCCAATTATATTTTCTCCCAGAATAAAGCATTTGTTGTCAGATGTTAAAACTGATACCAGCATCACTTCTGCTGTCAGTTTAGTCTGTCTAAACTGCTGGACAACTGAATTTCCCTTCGGGGATAAATAAAGTATATCCTATCCTATCCTATATATCCATAAATTTTCTGCTATAGCCTAAATCTTACATTAAATAAAATGTTAACATGTAGCATTAAAGTTGTTACTGCAAATTCAAGATTCAAGATTCAAGAACTTCATTTGCCATTTGTGCTCGCACACATAGGAACTCTTCTACGGTTGTTGCTCAGAGGGTCTAATCAAGTTTAAAAAAGACACACAAGAAAGACACATAAATCTATAAAACATATACTTCTCTAGAAATAAAAAGAAAGCAGAGAGTGCATAAAAGCCTGTATAAAAGACAAATTGAGAGCATTATACATTGCACAAAACCCTATATAGAAGTGTAAATTTGCGTTGTACATTACACATGTATAATTGCACAGGCCCCGGAGGCAACATTATATAATATAGTATGTTATAGTGTAAAATGGCATTGTAAATTGCACAGGTATATTGCACAGGCCCCAGAAACAATATGACATAATATAATACAATATGATATGCTGTGTGGTAGGTCAGTTAATTTTGTTTTGGCCAAGAGTCTCACTGTGTCAGGGAAGAACCTCTTATAAAAGCGTGTCCTGTTTGTGGTGATGCTGTCCGCTCGTCTGTGCCTGAGGTTGTCTGTGCAGTTTTTGTGTTTGAGCAGGGAGTGAGCTGGATGTAGTGTGTCTCTGATGATTCTCTCTGCTCTTTTTTGACAGCGCTGTGTGTAGATTGTGTCCATGGAAGGGAGTTCCGTTCTGATAATCCTCTCTGCAGTCTTTATGACTCTTTACAGAGCCTTCCTCTCTGTCTGTATGGTGTTTCCATACCAGACAGTGATGCCTGTGGTGAGGACGCTCTCTATCACTCCTTTGTAGACCTGGGTGAGAGGGCGACAGTGCAGACCAGGTTTTCTGAGCAGCCTGATGAAATACAGTCTCTGTTGGACTTTTTTCACTGTGGCAGCAGTGTTCGAAGTCCAGTTCAGATCTGAAGTTACTTGTAGTCCCAGGAATCTAGAACTGTCAGCCCTCTCCACCTCAGTCCCCTTGATGATGAGGGGCTGCAGGGGGGGTGGATTACTTTACGCAAGCCAACCAAATACATTGTGCTGTTTTCTTTTTTCTTCCTCAAGGTGCTTTGTTGAAGTTTTTTGGCCCACAACAGTAGGAACTTATTTAGTTTCCTTTTTAAAGTTAAGATTACAGTGACTTGCTCTCCCATTTAAAATATATCATGGGATCTATCTGATTTAATATGACAACACAAATATTTTTCTTAATGTTGTAATGATGTTCGGAGATCCTTAGATATGGAAGACATAGTGGCTGCATTTGCAGAAGCCAAGGCCCGCAAGCAGCAGTTTTAGGAAAAAAAAGGCACTACTATTGGACTGTGAATGTAGGACCAAGGTGTCAGTTATGTTTGTTTTTCTGTTATTTATATATTGTATGTAAAGTTTGCATTCAGATAGTTATGTTATTATTGATTTTATATGTTAATTGTTTAATAAAAGATTTCTTTACTGATCCGTAGTCCTGGACTTCATTCATCAAGATTCTGGGGGGCAGCATGGTCCTTCTTGCCTAGGGCCCCCAGGGGGTCTAGAAACTTAGACTTAGAGACAATTAAGCGCCCGGTATACTCAACGCATTCGAGCTGTCGCGCAACAACGTGACATCAAAATGACGTAGATCTCGCTGGCGCGCCAGGATTTTGGCCCGGTCGCGCAACGTCGCGCACCACTCTTTTTTTCCCAGCTGCGAGCGACAAACCGGAAACAGGAAGATGGACGATCTATACGATCCTTCAATAAAGGAGCACAGAGATGCCATATCGCATGAATGTTGGAATAGAGGAGGACATATGCTGGAAAATTTAGAAAGAATCCGCAACCTATTTGGAAAAAAAAAAACAACAACAACAAAAAAGCTTTTTTTTTTCTAGTGCGTAGAAATAGCAAAGTCAGTAGCCTTTCCTCACTAGCGACACCTCTGTTCAGGTAAAGACTGCAACTATATAGTCGGGACGCTTTGACTTTCTTTATTGATTCTTTTGGGATGACTCCCCAGGAAATTGAATTTCCAGCAGCTTACAAAAACACTTAGAATTAGAATAAAGAGGTATAAAAAATACAGTTTAAGATAGACAATAAACTCTTAGCTAAATATATAAAGTAGAGATAGAAATTAAAGTAACATAAAATTCATAGGAAATAAAAATCAGACAAATAGAGTTGTATATGGGCTAAATATAGATAAATATATCAGAATCAGAATCAGAAATACTTTAATAATCCCAGGGGGAAATTATTTTCGTTACAACACTCCAGATATACAAACGACATATATATATATATATACAACATTCAGCACAAAAAATATAAATATAAATATATATATATACAAGATCAAATGTACAGTATTAATGTGCAAAAAGTGCAAAAGAATGATTGTCTATGTTTGAGGTCAGATTACAGAGGGGGGGTGTCTGACTCTCTGAGGGAGGCGTTGTAGAGATTGATGACCACAGGCAGGAATGATTTCCTGTGGCGCTCTGTAGTGCATCTGGTTGAGAGGAGTCTTCTGCAGAAGGTGCTCCTCTGCTGGGCCAGTGTGTCGTAGAGAGGGTGTGAGACATTGTCCAAGATGGACTGAAGCCTGGACAGCATCCTCCTCTCTGCCACGGTCTTCAGGGTGTCCAGCTCCTCCCCTACGACATCACCGGCCCTCCTG